TCCTCTGGCCAATGGATACTGCCTTGCCACCGTATGATCTGCTTGGAGATTACATGCTTGTCCCACTCCCCTGTCATTACCATATTTACTGGGCAGCAGTAGAGTGACACCCCCATGTGATGAGTGGGCATTACTTCACACTGATCTCACTTTCTAAAACAGAGCTGCCGCTGGCAAAACTATATCTGGAACCCAGTCTTTTATACCAAAACAGACAAAAAGTGAGGAGTCTTGATTGTAAGTGAGAGTTTTCACACAGTATTTTCTTACACACAAGCTTGAGCTTTGGACTCTCTTCTGGGTAAGTCAGCAAGGGCTGAAACTGATGAACAGAAATGGACAGATGTGGCGGATATGTGATATTGGCAGTTACCCTAGTGATAGTGATGCTCTGGCAAAATTGCATCCATGGGCAAATTTCTTACTCATCATTTCTTGTAGGTCAACATCCATGGAGATTTTTTTACGATGGTAACATCTGGACTTCTTCGTCTTTGGAAAGAGTTTTAAAAAGAGCCTAATTGATGAAGGGAAACAATTAAATAGGCAGGAAATAGCATTTTTGGTAACTTAGTTCAGATTGTTATAAAGGGTTACTTTACTTCCTTAAAAATTTTGGTACTGAAGGATTTGAGAAAACATTTTCTGTGCTTTGTCTGGAGTCAGCTTAACAAACATAACATGGCCACTTAAAAAAGGAAGCACTTTGTAAATCTGATCAGGCTTGTGCCTATATAGACAAAGACTTTTCTAACAGTGTACAAGGATACCATTTAAGAATTAAAGCATACATAACAGTTTATATATGGCTAAACAAGGAAAGCCCTTTGTTACAGCCTCCACGTTGTATGTTTTATGAATAAGGAGACCCTTTGTAGTGCCTTTGGTAAAAACTGTATTCTGTCAACAGATTGTTTCTGTTGGTCTGTGACAGACTTGTATGGCCTGTTCAGATTAGATTATACAACTTGGGTGGTACCAGTATAAAGTGTTGCCAAAATGGGAACATGACTGTATTAGCTGTTATGGGATACAAATCAATGCCATAATGAAGCAGGAAAGGGAATGGAAGATATTATGTCCTTGTACATTAGAGTAATCCATTTATGGTAGCATTCTTATAAAGACCTTTACCATATTTCCTTCCATGTTAACACAGGCAAAATGATAATGGCTGATGTGAGCAGATGTCCACAAGAGAAAAGGGAATATATTTAAAATCTATGTGAATGCTATATTCAAAACTTACTGTCCATCAAATGCTTTCAGCTTAGCAATTTTTCTGCCATTAACATGAATAAATGAAATGATTTACTCCTTTTGTCTGATAAAAAAAGTGATATAACTTCTGTTGTGTGTCTTTCAGTGAAACTGTCACATTTAACATTACTGGGTTTCAGTTTCCCAGCTTGTGTGTTGACATTGTTTGAGCTGTTTGTTAGTGTTTCTGTTCCCTGTTATCAATGACCCACAACCTTGAGTAAACTCCTTACTGACAAGTACCTTCTGGTTTACCAAAGGAAGATATCCTACCCTGAGATCCAGCCTTCTTTGGCTTGAATGCACACTAACCATCTCTTCCTTACCAACAGGGATAGCCTACATCCCAACAAGGCTGGGACCCAGGCTAAAGCTGTCCACAAAAACTCAGATGGACACTTTGAGGGAAAATGATGAGATGCAGAGATACTTTATCTGAGGGGATGGAGGGCGTTTGTGAAGTGGGAGAAAGAGGAGTAGGCTTAAGTGGGGTCGAGGGGTCAAATCTGAGAGGTTATCTCCTAAATATTTTTGGATGCCTGGCTTTTAGAAAGCTGGTGGCTAATGCTGTGGTTAATGCAGAGATAAAGAGTAAAAGAAGAACAAAAAGTGGATGGGAAGTATCATAAAGGCATATTATGTAGAATTAAGACTTTACATGTATGTAGAAAGGAAAACTGATAGTGATACAATTTAAAAAACATGATGATTTAGGAAAGAAAAGTGGAAATGAAGAACTTTTTTGTTTCATAACTAGTTATAAGCTAATTCCCTGTCAGCCATTATTACGCAATAAAAAGAAAAGTAAAGAACTATTGTCTTAGTTGATACCCTGATCTGTCATTGTTGTACCATAGAAAAGTACAGAACCATTTTCTCACCTGTCCAGCATCTGTACTGTAGGTCACATGGTCATCTTGTTCTGTGTCTACTGAAGCAGGTTGCCACTGGCCCTGGTGCCACAGCTGCACTCTACAGCCCTGTGTGGACAAAATAGGAACTCTGGTCAGATCTAACATCAACAGGATATTATTGTGAGGTGCTGCTGATGGTTAAAAGGTACATCCTGGAGACAGGATTGGGAGTAGAGGATGAGGAAGATGTTCAATTAATGTGAGACCAGGAAAAGACTATCAAAGAATAAAATCAAGGAGTAAAACAATTGTTTTACTGAAGATGACTAAAGCATAACTGACATTAAATGTCAGGAACTGAACCTGAAACAGGAAAAATATCCTCGGTGAATTAGAAAGTTGTTAACATTTTGATTCCATTCAAATTTGGACTGATGGGTGCAATCCAGTGCCTTGGGCATAAGTTGCTGTACATGTATAATGTACATGTAGCTGTCCTTGTGGGAGTTATAACCTAATTTCTGGTGTCTGCACCCAAAACCTACTTCTTTGCATCTTGGCAAATACCCAAGAACCTGTAGCTGCATGTGTGTCAAATAAAGAACCTGGTTTATCTAGCTAGAAAACCTGACTGTCAAGAACGCAACTCGGAAAGAGTTTCTGAATCTGTACAAAGAACAGGCAACAAAAGAATGTTAACCTGTTAAGATTAACCAAGTTTTCCAAGAAGCAAGTTTCGAAATTAAGAAAATCCTTCTGGACCCCTTTAACCAGCCCCAGTCTGAATGGGGTCTTACAAAACCTGATATCAGAAAATAAATGCTTGGTAAGCCTAGCTCAAAGAATTGCTCTGAAAACAAGCAATTAAGAGTGGCGGTGCCACAAAAGCCTGTGAAGCATTACGGCCTAAAAGTTCCCATATGTACAGCTGCCAAACATCTTCCTCTTTCAGTACCTCAACCAATCAACTTAGCAGGTTTTGACAGCTTCGTACACTTTTAGCGGTAACTTAGTAAGAAACACAAAAATGTATTGTTTTTTCAAAGTTATAATAAAAAAAGGTAGGATAAACTGAGAAGTACAAGTCTTGTTTATCCATGATGACAAACCTGGTAAAATTATTTCACGGATGTTAAACTCTTTCCATTTTGAATGCTGCCATATCTTAATACTGGTGTTACAGTTTGACAGCTATGCCAAAGCATAGGAGTACTATGACAAATTAACTTTTGCCCCAGGCTACCCTATGTCACAATTTTACAAAAGCACATAGAAACTAATTTCCTATTTTGAAGAATACAACTGAAGGTGAATACAAATAAGGGTACCAGGTGACAGGAACAAAATGCATCACAGCAAGACAAAACAAACTCAATATTGGTCTACAAATTTGATTAAAATCTCCTGCACAATTCTTTGTCCTGACATACAAACTAGAAACTCTTTCTTCTTTGCTAGACATTTTTTTCAATACAGCTTCGTTGTAATTTGCACTAATGACAAATCAGTATGATATCAGAAAAGAAGACAGCAAGGAAAATCCGCATCGATGCCACTTATCAAGATATAGATGTACAACTCCAAAGGCCTATCGTTTCTCTTCAGCTATAGTCTGTCTATTGATATATGACAAGCCAACCAGCTTTGCTACCACACCCAAATACCAATTATACAGACCTGAAACAAAACTGAAAATATCTCATATGACAAATTTTACCTTCTTCCCAAATCATAACACACAGTTCCCACCAGTTATCTTGCACTTCCTTTGACACCAAACTCTTGTGTAATCCACAGGGCAAGGCTGGGAAAATTCTGCAGACCACTGGACCCAGTGGAACAAGCCGGCCTTGGACCAAACCCAATAAAACCTAATTACCAGAAGGGATATACCACTCTGTTTCTTAGGGTGAGACATCCCTCATTATCATTTATGTAACCAACATAAACACTGCAAAACATTTATATTTTGTACATTCATTTCTTCCTTTGAATTTGAAAATGACCATTGAGTTTTAATGCAAAGTTTAAGATGAATATTGAATTCATACTTCAGTTGTTGCTGCCTTCATTATTCTGAGAATGAATGGTAGGTTCCATTCCAAAAGCTCTTTGTGTCCAGGGAATACAGTGTACATTTTCAAAACATAACTGGCCACTTGTCCTTTCAGTCACTCCTTACCCAGGCCTGATATTCCTTACTGGGAGAGACATGGCAGGCAAAGGTCGACGACCCCAGCTGTGTGGGATGTTAGAAATTTCGACTGATGTCTGGAAGAGCCATCAGCTGGAGCTGTGTTTGTGTTGCCATGGCAACTAGATATGATGCCTGCATATGTCAGCATTTTCTATATTTCTACTGGTGCTATTATCATGATAACTGCAGTTTAAGTTTACCAAGCTTCCTTATCTTTGTATATACAGCCGGATTTGTCTACTTCAAGAAAATAAAGCGTCCACATTTCCGCCAGCTGTATTATAAGATAGAATATAACACATGCTATTCATAAACGAACAATAGGATCTATTGTTATACTTTTGTTGTTTTTTACTTACCAAATACTAGTGCCGACAGATCAAGGCAACAAGTTACAGGCTAAATCCTTGTAATTCTTTGGGTACATAAAGATTTTCAGTATGACAGCAGCAACAAGTCACTTTATGGTCAGATCATCAAATTAGATACAAACTACTCACCATGATGACTTTGTAATTATAGTTATTAGTCCCAATAAATATCATAATGTTTTATGAACTACATGTAATGTTGTATGTCTACAACAAAACTGATGAGATATGGCCAAAATAACATAAGTTTAATAACAAAAGTTTTCAGCCAACAGTGGTAGCAATCTTTTTTAGCAGTTGGAAAACAAACCAACTTTAAAGGCTCCATATATGTCCTTATTATGTAAATATGAATGCCATTGTGTGATGAAATGGCTTCAACCTGGCCATCCATATCCTTCCCAAATAATGTAGTCTTGTAACATTCTTATTTCCTAGAACACCTTAAATCTGTTCCATGCTTAAGTTGTGGCAAACACAAGCACACACAGTTAATCCTACAACAAAGCTAAGTAACCTCTAACATTAAACATGTCTACACAAGACTCACACCTAATTGCAAAACTTCTGAAGGATTTCTTGAACTTGGCTGAGGCTAAGTTCTAGGTCCCTGACTTACCATAATACTCTGTGCCGCCATGTGGATTGCAGACTTGACCTGATCCGTCCCTAGTGGACCTTACACCACCGTACCGTACGCTTGTCCCTTTTGATGTGAGAGTTAAACTTCCTACAGGGATATGTGAATAGAAGCTGGGTTGTCTGGGGGTCTTCCTGACGGTGTACTGGGGGAAGTAGTGAATCACTGGACACACCTTGGGAATGGGCTCAGGAATTTCCCCCCACAGAAAACCACCAAGGTGACGGCTGGATAACATCGGTTCAGTTTCTTATTGTTCCTCTCTAATCCTTATTTGGTGATACATATATAGTGTGTCTATCTACATTCCAAGGAATATGCCATAAATTGTATTTGTGTGATCTGAAAATTAGTAACAAGAGGAAGAACACAGATTTTCTTGTTACAGTATATACCAAAACACTATGAAAACAGCCAACAAAGTCATGGTAGGCACTTCCTGTAGTGGGTTGATGCAGGGTCATGGATACCTGTCATTGTTTATCTGTTTTCTTTGCTAGTACTAGGTATTTACTTTGCCAACCCCATACAGGAGAGATTCATTTCAAATGTTGAAATCAGATCAAAAAGTAAAAGGACTTAGAGGAAGCAAAAACAAAGCAAAAACTGGCAGTGGTTTAATGAAAAAAGAAATGTAACTTAGACCCTGTTCATACCAGACTTATATTTAGCGGTTTCAACCGGTTTTTCAAAAACCGGTTTTTATTTAACCTGGTGTGAACGCAAATTAACCGGTTTTTTAGGGGTTTAAATCCGATTTTGAAAAACCACCTCGGGAGGTGGTTTTTGTGGGGTTTTTCCACCGAAAAACCTGGTCTGAACGCTAAGGGTTTATTGAACCGGTTTTTGCGTCATAATTCCGGGGTCACGGGGTCAGCATCCTGACCGTGTGCGACCTGCAAGCTTTTTTGATCGCGTTGTTTTGACCAACTTGAGTTCGTTTCCACTGTTTTTCCATGGTTTCTCTTCATTTTGCGATGGAATCAGCATATGCAACCTGGTCGGCGGACGAGACGCTCCTGATACTTAGGTTTGGAGAGCAGGAGTCGCCGAATTCGAAAAAGCTGGGGGGGGGGGCTCTACCGAAACAAAAATGTTGGAGGAGGCTGATTTCTTGAAGATAAAGGATCAGTGCCGCAGTAAGGTAAAAAAAAAACTGAAGACGGCATACAAGTAAGAAGGCCAAGGACAACAATCAGAAGAGCGGGAGGAACGGTTATTCAAACTGCAGTCATGGCCGATTAATTAGATATTCACCGGACAGGATTTTTTCAAAACCGGTTATCAAAAGTCTGGTATGAACGCTAAGGGTTAAAAAACCGGTTGAAACCGCTAAATGTAAGTCTGGTATGAACAGGGTCTTAATGCACAGACTTTCAAGTGTCTGGCTGCCAGAAATATTAACAATATCTGAGTCTGTCCTTTCTTCTCCAAAGTTAGACATCTCTAAAATGAATACCACTAAGAGTATGATTACAGTACAAAATGACATCACTCACATCATATTTTCACAGAAAATTGATGGTATCATCACTTAACCTCTGTCTACAGGTGGTTTTCTGAGACATTATCATTTCCTGTGCTGGATTGGGCAGCGAAGCAGCATGAGTCACTTTTCTGCCCACATAAAAATCAATTGAAACTCCCAGCAGTTCTGACCTAATGTTATCTGCCATCTCCCTAACTGCTGTTTCAAAAACACTCTCTGTCTCATGATACAATGTACAATTAACAAAATGTGGCAAAACAATTCTGAGAAAAACAGGCAGGATAAAATTATACATTAAGATCAAGTGGTCATACATTAAAAATTAGAAATAGTGGCATAAAAAATATTGACATCGTTGAGCAATTCTCAAGGTACCCATTTGATAAGAGAAGGGCCCTGGGGAGGGGGGAAATTGGGAATGTTTTGGTAGATTAGTCCGGAATTGTGTGGCAGATTGTGCATAATGACAGGAAATGACACAGATAAAGGGACAACAGTCCACCATCACAAAATCACACACCTGTTGAAGTGGGCTGAATCACTGTTAGGTTGAGGTCAAATGTTTAACATTTCTGTTGCAGCAAAGTACAGGAATAAAATATAAAAATGCTTGTTTCTTCTATAAATGACCTAGATGATTAGATGTTTTCGACTAGACTCTTGATTGGACATCAGAGGAAAAACAAATATATCCCTATTAATCCTCTTTTGTAATGAGTCTGCTAACAAAGCAGCTTGATAACAAAATCCATATCATTGGTGTCCGTCTTTCCAATTTTGTCAGAGCACAACATTTTGGCAGATATTATAGATTTGATCCCTTATCTCTGAGGTCTATGGGATTCACGTGTTCTGCTGGGTACATCACTGTTGACATTGTCACCCTATTTGGTTACAGTTTGGCTTTGTTCCCAGAGAGAAGATGAGTCAAGAGACAAGTGACCTAGACAATTGTTTAAGTCAGCTATAGATCTTCAGTCATGACTTTTCCAGTTGGGCTGTCATGTGTAACCGCCTGGCATCACGACAAATGCAAGTTGATGCTTTGGCAGACGATCAAGAAATGATTTTTACTGTGACCTTTGATTGTAAAAGGGAGTAAGGATCTCATCAAGGCAGCTGAACTTTTCAATGAGGTTCAACTACAGGGGATTATAGGAGTCTGCATGGGGTTTTGTCGGGATGCAGAAAGTGTTTTTAGAAAAGGCTTTGGAATAAACGCTTTTATATTTAAAGACATTAATACCCAAGATTTAAGCATTTGTCAAAACTGGCTGTTCTTGCTAAAAATGTGTACAAGATTTTAGGTTTGATAGGGTCTAGTAGGGGTTATGAATTTCTGATTTTTTTTATCATTAACTGTTAGCAAAAGAATAATGGATAGTGATACACAGACAAAATACACAAACTGCTCAGCTGAATGATAATGTATCCAATCTAGAAATTAGTAGAATAGAGATACACACTAACTTAGATCTGGCTCGAGTACCCATTGATGATAAAACACAGCACAAACATATACAACTTACCTGTCAGGTCACTCATCAGATTCTGCTGTATCCAAGCAGCATGAACAAGAAAACAACAGATTTTACTCAATGCAGTCTTTTGCTTTTAAACTAATGCATTATTCAACCCTCACATAAAACAAGACATATAATCATATCACTCAATACTTTGTGTACAAGTAAAGAATACTGTGTTACCATCAAAGTGACCTGATCACTTAAGGTGTCAAATTATCATTACTATAAATATGTTTCAAGATTCTGAACTTACTCAGTAGCAGTCTTATCAAGCTTCCCAGATCCCACATTTGATATGAACAGATAAAGGAAAAAGATAATGTTGTACGATTTAAAGAAATAACATGTAAATCCTGTTTACTTACTACATGTGGAATACCTCCAATTTTTTTTCTATACCAAGAATAATTTAGCGTACATTATGTAGGGTAGCCAAGATACTGATGTGGTCTTATATTTCTTCGCTTAAATGGTTCCAAGCATGCTAACATTTACGAGCACTGCTTCCAAGAGGATATCAAATATTAAAGCATTTGGCCAATACTAACGAAGTAACTACTTAAGGAAAGTTGATTTTTATTGATTTAAGTTTTAGTGGCAAGCGTTGCCACCCCCGCACATCACACATTTTAACTGCCACAGATACCAGATATATTCTTTTATGGATACCTCAGCTCAGACACAAATATATTTTACAACATTATCCATCCATTCCTAGTCAAG